TTCAAATAGGGGTCTGCACGCCGCTTTCCCCTGGTGTGGGAGGGTGTCTCACACAAACGTAAACCGGAACGTCTCCCCTTTGGGCTCTTACACGGGGAGGGGCAAGCGCAGAACTGTGAGTCCGGAGAACAGTTGACTCGGGGATTCTCACTCACTATCGTGTCATTTATTTGTACCACAACTGCAGGCCTCTCTTGCCCGCCCCTGAACACTAGCAGAGGCCAGCCCTCAAACCGGAAGAGCTACCAGCACTCAAGGACCCAAGTTCAAAGGCCGCAGCCCTGCCCTAACCGGTTTGGCTCAGCGGATAGAGCGTCGGCCTGCGGACTCAAGGGTCCCAGGTTCGATTCCAGTCAGGGGCATGTACCTTAGTTGCGGGCACATCCCCAGTGGGGAGTGTGCAGGAGGCAGCTAGCTGATCGATGTTTCCCTCTATCCCTCTCCCTTCCTCTCTGTAAAAATCAATAAAATAAGTGGGGAGTCAGGAGGCAGCTAGCTGATCGATGTTTCCCTCTATCCCTCTCCCTTCCTCTCTGTAAAAATCAATAAAATATATATATTTTTTAAAAAAAGGCCACAGCCCTAAGGACACACCCAGGACAAGGCGAACCTGCCATATCGAAGTGGAAACCCTGAGAACAGGAGCCAGTTTGGAGCCAGGCTCACAGTTAGAAGATGCTATTAAATCTCAATTTTTAAAAAATAACGTGCCTTTTTTTAAAACCTTCATGTAGTGCCCGGCTGGTGGCTCCGTGGTTGGCGTTGGCCCTCGCCCCTGCAGGTCTGGGCTCAATGCCTAGGCCAGGGCGCTGCTGTTTTCTCCTCGTCCTTGGCACCTCGGCAGCACTGACTCAGCGCGTGTCAGGGACCGTGGTGGGCACATGCTAAGTGAGGGCCTGGCCCCGCCTGCAGAGGCTGCCCTTTGCACAGCTGTGCTTCTGGAGACAAATCTGAAAGGCAGCGCCATGGGTCCTCAGACAAGGGTTTCTGACGTGAGCTGGGGTCTCAGGAAAGTGGCAGCCGCTCCAAACGGGAGTCCAAACCAAGGCCGCAGAGCGGACGCTGGAGTCGCAGGCCTCACATGCAGCCTGCTTCTTCCCCAGGGGCAACTCCGCAGGCCGCACAGGGCTCCGAGCCCAGGGGCACTGGGTGTGTGTCCAGGGCCAGTGTTTCTAGGTGTAGCCAGCGCATCACCTGGCCCCAACGCCCTTCCCCAAATGGACACCCAGACCACGTGTCTCCACAACAGCCTGCGTGGCTCTCCTGCTGCTGCTGGAGCTGCACGCCCTCCCCATCAGGTCACCGCTCGCCCTCGGACGGCTAGGAGGCGCCCTGGCTTCCCAGAGAAGCGGCTGCGCAGTCAGCATTCTCACCGCACAGCTGGTGCTTTCCTTAGAGACGCGAGAACCGGTGGAAGGGTGCGCGCACTTGGAACCACCACTTTTGGTACCAACGTACTGGGTGTCTGACCAACTGGGGAGGCAGCTAAAGAGGCTGCACAAAGTCCACAAACATCCTCTTTAGGAACCGAAGGGTTGAGGAGACCATGTGGAGGCACCGGGCCAAAGTTGGCAACAGGCTAGAAGGCGGGGGGGAGGCACAGATGAAAGGCCAACAGTGAGTCACGTGACAGGAGCGGGGACCACAAAGCTCAGTGAGCCAGTGGGCAGGACAACGGCTCCGACCTCCGGAACTGAGGGTGGGCACCAGCACCCTAAGTTGTCAGGAAGCCCCGCTAAGCCCGGAGGACGGAGGATGTGCTGGGATGTGCTGTGTGTGCGGACTCTGCTCCATGGCCTTCAGAGGCTACTGAAGAGGAACTACTGCTCTACCCGTCCTGTCCCTAGCCGGAGCCCGCACGCTGAGCAGGAGCAGAGCCCTCGGCCGGCCGGCCGGCCGGCTGCCCC